CGTCCATTTTGTAGTCTCCTTTATAGTAATTCCCCCTTTATCCGGCACAGGATCAGGCAACAAACTGCCAACCTTCAAGTTGGGGAAGTCCTTCAGTAGGTTACCGACATCTTTCAGCTTCTTCTCCTCCTTCTCCCCTTTCCCAGTCTCAATTCGAAAATCCCGCGTTCCTTTTCCAGCTTTTATATCCTCCTCCCAATCATCTATCCATTGCTCCTCCTCTTTCCCTTTCCCGTCTTCTGACAGGCACACTTCTATTTTAACTCTTTCCTGGTCTTTCTCCCCTTTTGACACTTCCCTCTCTTCTCCTTCCCCTTTAACGTCCTTTCTTTCTGGAGGAGATGGCGCACTCCTGTCCTTCTGTCCTTCACAAGGACTGAAGAGGAATTCTAAGCCTCTTTCATGGAATGGTCTTAAAATCATCCATGTAGTTGAGAAACCAGCAATAAGATGCAGTTTGAATCCACTCTCTTGTTTCCTTTTGCCTTCCTTGTCCGGTAGTCACAGTATTTTACTGAAAAAACTGGATAATAATCGTTGGCATAGCTACATAGGAAAATGCTTTTCTTCTCAGCTGGGCTTAAGAAAATACATTTTGTGGTTGTTTATATTGGCTGCAGATTCACTGGTACAAAAGGAGTTTAACAGCTTGCTCATTGAGCCCATCCAAAATTTCAGCTCTGCAATTCAAGACAGTAGCTTTGCGGAGCAGAATTCCCCCTAAGTGTGTTATATTTAATGGAGAGGCATTTAAATCTGGTTTTTATTCTATGATAAGTCTGTGCTTTGCCCAGATGAAATTATAACCACATTTTTAAGGGACACTGATTTTCCAAAAAGAAAGAATAAGGAAAAAAGTCTGGAATCATTTGTGAAGTAATGAACACACAGGAACAGCTGCTAAATGTCCTATAAGCCAGTCTGAGATTCATTTCAATTACTACAAAAAGACACCTTAGGTGTGCATTGCAGTGTGTTTTCTGTTTTATATGTAGCACATATGTCCCAAATGTTATTCTTGTACAATGGTTTTTACCTAATTATTTCCAACACCCTTCTAATTTTCTTCCACAGTCTTCTTCTCTGAGATGTTACATCTATTATTGCTCCTCTTTATTATTTATAGATCAGTTTTTGGTGTTGAAAGTTCCTTCAATATTCACTTTATTTTTGCAAAATGCAGTGTTGAAGTTCAACCTTGGTTCAGGTCCCCCCTCAAATGTGAAAGCAACAGAGTGGTCACTATCTCACAATTTTGCTACTTCATTGACTAAAAGGGCTGATGGAACCCAGCTTGGACAAAAGTATAAATTACTTGTGTGCACTTGTGAAAATAATAAAGTAGACGGATGCAGACAAAAAATAGGAGCACAGGTTTTGCACACTTCCCTATTGTTGGAAGTCATTATGATGAATCAATCTGACCTCTCTCTGTGTGTATGTGTATGTATGTATGTTGAATTCCTCAGTAAAAATATATGACTATATTCTATAGAATTGACCTATTGATCTACATTAAATCAGCAAGATTCCTGTTGCTGTTATTTGACATTATGCTACTTCCAACTTAAAGCGACCCCAGTGTGTTTTAAAGTATATGAAATGTTTGTGGGATGGTTTCACCTTTGCCACTCATCTCTCTCGAGTCCTAGTCCAACACTCTATCCATGACACCACACTGGTTGTCTTGATAAGATTAGAGGAAAAGTCCTACGTTTACTGTCCTGAGGTCTTTGAAAGAAGAATGTGAAAATTTTCCACAATTTGGACAAGTTACTCTTTGACCTACAAGCTGTTATCTGGATTCTGAGAACTGTAATGCAAAAAAGTTACATTTTCCAGGATCTGATACCTACTCAAAAATGATATGAAAAGACAAGGTGCAGTTCTTCTAAAGCCCTGTAATCAACATAAGATGAAGACCGTATACAAATTTCTGTGGGCAGGGCATCTGCTAGACAAATTGATTACTACTAGACATGGGGACGAATAAAAAATGAATCACGATATTTGTTTAAAAATTGCTGATTCATTAAATATTTGTCCCTTTGTATTTGTGAGTTCTAGAGACCCCGATGAATATGAAGGGATGAATTTTTGTCCATTTTAATTAAAATCCCATACAAAGAGAGGGAAGGCTAGCCTATGGCCTTCCCATTCTGCCTATGGGCCTGCCGACCAGCTGATCGATGGCCCGATAGGCAGCCAGCCAGCCCCACAGCCACCTGCCCCCCACAGCCTATTCCCCACCCCCTTCCCCTCCCTACCTTAGCCGCTGCCACCTGGTGCCGCCATCACCCATTGCCACCCGCTGCCACTGCCATCCGTCACCACCAGCTGGGAATCCAGACTGCCTTTGCAAAGATGGCAGCTGCAGCTTCCCTGCCCTAAAAGAAGCTGCAGCCGCCATCTTTGCAAAGGGCAGCTAGTGTCCCTTACCGCAGGCCGTGGTTGCTGAAGCCACAGCAGCTGGGCGGTGGTGGGTGGAGACTGCGGAGGCTGCCATAACGCAGGCTGCTGTGGATGGTGGTGGCAGCAGTAGCACCGCAGAATGCAGCAGCCACAGTAGGGAGGCGATAGGGGCAAGTGGGCAGGCTGTGGGGGGGGTGGCGGCAGCTTTTTTTAATAGCCTCTGGCTGTCTAAAAAAAAAACCCGAACGAACCGAAGAATCACTTTGTGCTTCGTCGGTTCATGGGGATTAGCCTCATGCTTTGTGCTTCGTCAACTTTGATGGATCACGAAGCAGGACGAATCGCCAAATTGGAGATTTGTCCCCATCTGTAATTGCTACCCTTTGTGGTACATATGGCACCCTCTGGGGTCACGGGCCTAATGGCGTGATTTAAGAACGGAGGAAAAAGCCAAAATTTGCCATTAGAGGTGTGCAGATCCCCTATGTTTCAGGGGGAACTCTGGGAACTGTAATCTAAAATTTATTTATTTTGTATCTGTCTGGAACCTTCGAAGGACAGCAGTATATGAAGTACATCAGTCAAGGAGACCTAATCCTTTAGCTGAGTGTCAGTCCATATTTAGCCAAATAGTACCATCTACACAGAAAAGAAAATATCAGCTACCTTTTGGAAACAAAGATTTGCAAAGGTACAAAAAACTTTTAGGGCGGGGAGTAAAAAGGGGGTTACCCAAAAGACAGACCAGGAAAGATGGAGAATGCTTTGTTTGCAAATAATGTTGACAGACTCTTGCTTATGGACATGGAAAAGTGGGAGGTAGAACAGAATATATTGGACTGGGGCAGGATGCTTGGTTGACATGATTGGTTAACTGGAGTCCTAAACAGAAGCTCAGAAGATTCCAACATTTTTGTTACAGGCTCACTTACTTTTAAATGATTGTAAATGCAGGTAAGGGGAATGAATGAGTGGGTTCTTTCTCTCGATCTCTCTGCAATATATTCTACAGAATTTAATTCAGAAAATTCCTGTTTAGGCAAAACAACTGGGAATGCTCAGAGAAGCCAATCGTATATTCATTGAGCACTTCTCAGGGAAATTGCTCCTCGTTCAGATTATACCGTCGTCGTCGTTTAGTCGTGTCCGACTCTTCGTGACCCCATGGACCAGAGCACGCCAGGCCCTCCTGTCTTCCACTGCCTCCCGGAGTTGTGTCAATTTCATGTTGGTCACTTCGCAGACACTGTCCAGCCATCTCATCCTCTGTCGTCCCCTTCTCCTCTTGCCGTCACACTTTCCCAACATCAAAGTCTTTTCCAAGGAGTCTTCTCTTCTCATGAGATGGCCAAAGTATTGAAGCCTCAGCTTCAGGATCTGTTCTTCCAGTGAGCACTCAGGGTTGATTTCCTTTAGAATTGATAGGTTTGTTCTCCTTGCAGTTCAGGGGACTCTCAAGAGCCTCCTCCAGCACCACAATTCAAAGGCATCAATTCTTCGGCGGTCTGCTTTCTTTCAGATTATATAGGCTATGCCAATTTCAGCTAAAACAATTCACTTGATTTACTATCCCACTTTTGTTTTCAAGTATTGGCTGAAGTCCTGTTGTGAACTTTGCCTTATGTAAGACTGATGATGTCATCAGCAGCAGCCCTTTTCAGGACTTAAACATTTCCATTCTTCCCCACCCCTCCAAAGGTTGTAAGCTTCTCTTGGCATTCCTTTCATCCTGAAAAAGTTGGAGGCTGTGATGGGGGGAAGTCTTTATTCACCCCCATGGGTAGAATCATCCTGTGGTGGCGATTTTTTGGACCTCCCCTCAGTCCTGGATACTCACCCACCCCAAATCTTCCCCAGGATGAAAGGAATCCCAAGGGAGCCTCAGATGGTTGGGAAAGGGTATCGGAAATCTTTAATTCTCCAAAAAGCTGTGGCTGATTAGGTCATTAGCCTTGCACTATGTAAAGTTTTGCGACAAATTTCAGCCATCACATCCATCTGAACTGAAATGTGCTTCTTAACTTTGGACTACAAAATAATCGTCCCCGACCCACCATCATTCTAGGAATGTTAGACTTCTTAACAAAATTGAAAATAACCTTAAGATGAATGTTTTGCTAATTTCCCCAAGTTAACATAATCACTGATATGTGGCATCCATGGGTGTGTGTGGAATTCATACTGTAAGTTCTCTTTTTCACCATCTTCCTTCTGAAATGTTTAAATTTTTAATGTCATTTAGCTTCACAGGAGTTTTGTCTCATAGTTGGGTTTTTTGTAAATAAACTTTTTGAAGTTCACCAAGTTGAGAACAAGCAGAAATAATTCGGAATGCATATTCTTAACAGGAAGCTGGCAGTTATTTTCCATGATCTGGCACTTCAGTTTATTATTGCTTTGCTTGTTTATAGCTTCTTTCAAAGAAGCAACCATCTTTTTTCAGACATGGATGTTATGAGAGGAATACACAAAAGCTGGTTTGATTTTTTTTCATGTCCTTGTATTCTTTTCAGGTGAGGACTTCTCATGAGTTTGATGATACTCTAATTTCTTGTGACATTTTCTGCTTTTTTTGGGTTCTCTGTCAGGTCTGGATGTGTGGAGGTGGCATGTTTGATGTTCCATGTTCTAGAGTTGGGCATATCTACAGGAAATATGTTCCATACAAAGTCCCATCAGGCACGAGCCTAGCAAGAGTAAGTAGCTTGGTTTTGTGTATTTCTTATTTGTGAGCAATGGCATTTTAGATTAGTTGCTTTGTTCAAAGGATTATGTAAAGATTATCTAAACAGTTACACCTTGGTTTAGAGAACCAAGAAAAAGAAATAAATTCATATATTCCATTCTCTCCTTTTCTCTCCTTCCTCCTCCCCTGTCACATACAGCAAAAACAAAAGACCATTCATCATTATTTCCAAAGTGCTTAGATTATGATGGAAAGGATAACAGTACCATTAATTAATTGTTAAACCTTCCCTGAATTTGTCCAGTTTTAGTCACATAAAGATCCTCTTAATTTGACTCTCCTAAAAATTTTCACACAAGATAAGAAGACCAGGTCCCTTTGCTTCTTTGTGAAATTCAAGCTTTGGAACAAGCCTTCCAAATCAGGATTACAAACTCTGGTTTAGGAGCATCAAGTACTTGTGTATATAGTTACAGCACCCACTAGTGCTGGTAAGCAGGATTAAAAATATTCTGTTTATTGCCTGGAAAGGAGCCATTCAATGTACAGTATTTTAAGGAAGGCTTCACTTAAAGGAGCTAGAAGTGAGTCTAGCAAATGACTACATTGGCCATTTATTTCACAATTAATGTCAGAATGGACACTGATTAATTAGATTTAAAATCCAATGACTAAAGCTCAATGCAAGGAGGCCCATTGTGAAATTGTCTTTTTTTTGTTCAGCCAGCAGGGGTGGTTCAAATTTGTTCCAATCAGTTTGACATCACCTTTGTCCATTTTCTGCGAGTGTGATTGCCTGTTACAATGCAAATGGGCACTCATGAAATGTCAGTTTCCTCTCAACTGAGTGCCTCCTGTCTCCAAACTATTTTTCAACTTAGTGCTGGAATGGACTTTTGCTAGGGCACTTAGATGAACAATAAAGAAGGGTAGGGGGATTGCCAATTAACACTTGTTGGTACCTAGATACAGTTTCTGCTGTTGTAGTTTAGTGCGGACCAAGCTCCCTGCCTGTACCCCTGCTGACTTCTGCAAATTGGTCTGGACAGTAAACTCCATTTCCACAGCTGCGAATCCCAGCAGATAAGATTGTGTTTTCCTGCTGTGTAGTTGTACCTTGGAGAGAAAAAATGCAGGAAAGAAGGGTGAAGTGATCAAAGTGATGAAATAAAAAGATGGGGTGGGAAATCTTTTATCTGGTATTTGGGTTTACCCTTTCTGTCACAGCACAGGATTGTGGGAGTTGTAGTCTAAAACATCTAGATGGCAAAAGATTCCACTGTTGTTGGAAACATCTGTGGGACTCTAAACTTAGGTCTACTTCTAACATTATTCTTGTCAATGACAAGAATGTACCTGAAAATCAATCCCTCTTGAAAATTATAACCTTGGTTCAGGTTGTCGAAATTTGTAGAGGGTGTGTTAAATCATCCTGAGCCAGCACTTTGCTGTAGCATTTCTATTTGGTTTCAGTTCAGAAGGCTGAAATTCAACTGATTGTCTGATCTGTTCCCACATGCTCCATTTCCTGAGCCAATTGCAAAACAAAAGAGGTTCCATCACTTGGAGCAATCTCATAAGGTTGCGTTGTCAAATCAATGCAATGCAAGCTTGGCAATCGATGCCTTTCCAAGCATTCCCATCCAGAAGGGGAAAAAGGATCTTTTGTGTAAGGCTGATTTAAAAGAGAGGAACCTTTGTTGTTATTTGGTCCTTAAATGCTGGCAGTTGATGCCTGACTTCAGGGAACATCACTCAGCTGCCACATGGCTGACAGAACAGCAAGGAGGGCATGCCAAGAAAGGAGTGAAGTCTCCACAAGATTAAAATCATGTCTTTTGCCTGTCCCTTTCTGAGTTTCCATTGAAGGCTTTGGCTCGACTTAGCCAGATATTCTTGCAGTGGTTCTTAACCTTTGTTACTCAGGTGTTTTTGAACTGCAACTCCCAGAAACCCCATCCAGCACAGCTGATGGTGAAGGCTTCTGGGAGTTGCAGTCCAAAATCATCTGAGTAACAAAGGTTAAGAACCAGTGGGCTAAAGCAATGGCAGGGAAAGTTCATGATGAAGCTGAGCATTGTAGGAGGATCAGTCCAGCTACCTGAGAGGGCGAGGGAGCCTTTTCAGGTGGCAGTGCTAGATTATGTATGAGGGCAGCTGCAAGAGTCCTCTGGCACTTCCTCCTGAGCCTCTCGGTTGTTCTCTCTGTTGGTGAGGAGAGCTGTGTGCACACCCTGTGGCTTGTTCTGTATAACCTAACCTAGACTGAGGAGGACTCAAGGTACAGCAGAGAAACCTGCTCTGGGCCCAAGTTAAAGCATGTTTCAAGCAGGGCTTTATGATTCAAGGGAAAACATCCTTGGGTTAGTAGTTAACAAGTATACCTAGACTACACAGTTGTAGCAGTTTCATACTTTAACTGCAATGACTCCATCCTGTGGAATCCTCAGACTTACAATTTTATTGAATACTTAAAATTATCTGCTAGAAAGCCATAGCATAGTAGTTTGGAGGAATACACCAGAGATTTCCAGCAGGGACTTTTAAGCACCTCACGAAATTGCAAGTCTCCTTAATTTATAGGATTGAGCAACATTGGTAAAAGTGGTGTCCAACTGCTATAACTGTGTAGTATAGATAAACTCTATGTGATCCCTTCAGCAAATGCAGCATTTAGCTATTCACTATTTAAAAGGCTTAGGAATAATTTGTTGGCTATTTGTGCCATGAGATCTGTTCTCATGAATTGTGTTTGCATGTGGCACTCGAAAATATATAGCAGGATCTTCAGTGCTATTATTATGTAATGTCCTACCTAAAAATCCACTTGTATCAGTCAAGGCACTTCCTTTCCTTCTTCTCACACCTCATTTCCTCAGCGGTGCATTTTCTACTCCTGTAAACTGAAGCTAGGAAATGTGTACCTCTCCAGATGTTTTTGCATTGCACCTCCCTTCAGTCTTCACCATCAGCTACGCTGAACAGGGCTGAGAGAAGCTGAAGCACAGTGATGCCTGTTTTATCACCAGGACTTATTTCAGATTAAGCACAAATAGGATTGCAGTGTAACTGGGCATTGCTTCCTCCTCCGTTGCACTCAAGGCTGTCTTAATTTTAAACCATGGCCCTCTCTTGAGGTCCACCGGTGTTTTACAACTCAAATGATTCTATAGACAGGGTTTACTGGCCTTCTATGTGGTGTGTGGGCTGCCTACAGTTGGTAAATAAATAGATACAGAGCTACCTAGTATGTGCAATCTTGAGTTCCTTTTTATGAAAGCATTCAATAAGGCCAGACTCTTGTAAGCCTATCTATGCAAGCAAAACCACATGGAATGCTCTCCATTGCATTGATCTGAGACAGATGCTCTGGTAGATACCACACATCTAATATCTGTCTCACTAGCTTCTCATGCCCTCCTTACTAGTGAAATTTAATGGTTCAGACATTTCTCAGAGGAACCGGGTTGTATTGTTTCCAACAAAAAAAAGCAACCTGATGCGAGGCATAAGTCATTTAGGAATAAATACTCCCAGGATATCATTTCTTTGAACTGCTCTAATTGCCTGTGAGCAATTCCTGCAGGTGACGATGTTTTTCTGTTGTGGAGACAAAGCAGGTGGTAACCTATCTTGCTGTGCCAGCTGAAATGTGCTCAGTTTGCTCTGTCTCTCACTCTCTTTGTATTCAGATGCGTCTTATTGGCTTTGAGACATCTTGCTTCATTCAGGGGCTGGAAGCAGAACAAATTAATAAAATTCGGGAGAGCTGTTGCTAAATGAATGTAGAAAGCAAGGCACAATGGGGGAAGCTATTCCAGGCAGAAACATTATCTCGCATCACAGATCAGGACATTCCTATTGCTCTTTCTTGTTCTCTGAACACATCTCGCAGTGCTCTAGTGCCCAAATTCTGTTAAAGAAGTAGTAGCACCAAAGGTGCAAATAGTATTTTTTGAAAAGGGACCCATATGATGCGTTCACTGCCAGAATGTCCCCACACAAAAAAATACCTTCATTTAGTGTCTGATAAGGATAGCCATGAAAAGGAATGACAAAACAAAAAAAATTTAAAAAGACAAAAATATTGTGGCACCTTAAAGACTAGCAATCTTTGCCACAATGTTTTTGTCTTCTTTATTCTTTCTTTTATGTTTTGTTTTTGCATAATGTGATATCTTAATGTGAGCTTTTGTGGACAGGTCCACTTCTTCCAGCAGTTAGTCTTTAAGGTGCCACCACATTTATGTCTTCTTTATTTTTATTTTTTCCCTGATATACTAGCCCATATTTTTACTAGAATCCTTGAAGTATTCCTTCCAGTTGGGACTGAATTACACTCCATAGCAAACTCCTTGCTGGACTGGGCTGCTTCAGATAATGGTGGTGGCTTGCATTAATGAAGGCTGTCCTTCATCACAATATCCCAGCATACAGAAAGCTAGCATATCTAAGTGGAAATCCTTCCTTAGCTCTTAACTAAATGTGCTAGCTTTCTAGATATGAGAAGTGGAGTGTTTGTCACTGTGTGGATATTTAATGAAGTGGGATGCACTGCAAAATCTGATCCTCACTCCAGCTGCACCCTGAAGTTGCACAATGCAGTTTTGGTGAAGGTGTATATAAGCACTTCATCCTCAATTAAAAAGCACTAGGGCTAGAACCCTGGTATCATACAGCTGAAACTGGAAATCATGCAAGTGGTATGAGTAATCTTGCTTGTCCATTGTATGGTTAGAAATATCAGTTGTTCCCTCAGGCACATGACAAATGACTGGCAAATGCAAAATGTGCTTGCACTGTTGCATAATTAGCAGGGTCCTGGCTTCTAGTCTTCCAGGTGTCACAGTATTTTATTTTATTTCTTTCATTTGTCACTGTGTGGATATTTAATGAAGTGGGATGCACTGCAAAATCTGATCCTCACTCCAGCTGCAGCCTGAAGTTGCACAATGCAACTTTGGTGAAGGTGTATATAAGCACTTCATCCTCAATTAGAGGCTAGAACCC